GGAGCCATACTGTATTATTGGCAAAAACCGCAAGGGTGTGGTTGTTTCTTTCACCAACCTGAGATCAATACTAAAGTTTTTTGAGTTGCTCACTAGTATTGGTACAGGTGAGGTGAGGAAATTGTTTACTCGCTCTGTCAAAAGTGGATCTAGGTATGGACATAAAGTGAAACTTTTAGTTTCAGACAACAAGGACTTTGCCTTTGTTTATAAATACAGTACTGGTCAGTTATCAATTCAATTCCACTATGGTGAATGGAATACATGTGGAGCTCCATGTCATCCAAATCCTGAAAATGATTAAATTCTCAAAACTCTAACAAGAGTATTATTGTGAGTACATTTTGCATCTCTGTGTATTTGTAATGCAAATATGTTATTTTGAATATTGAGTAAATTCTAACTGAAACACATGGAGTTGAAGTCTACTTTTATTGACTGAATAGTATTACAGAATCCAGAGTTTGAAATAAATAATTTATAATATACATTGTAAATACATGATTTTCTAATAAAAATATTGTACAAATTCCAAATCAAATGTCCATGTGAATATTTACAATAAAACATGGTTGGTACAAAGACTAATATTGCATACAACACTTTCCACTAATAATTGCACTACTGAATAGTGCTAACTAAACAATATATCGACCACTATGCAGTTGTTCGGAATATCATTCATATTATTCTAAACAATATAATTAGCATAATTTTAGTGGTATTTATATGTTGCACAATGTTAGTGTTTGCACTCTATAGTTTGACTCAATAGTAAATGAGGCATATTAATAATGTACAATATAAATACATGATTTCTTATAAAAAATATTGTACAAATTCCAAATAAAATATCCCCGTGAATATATTGTATTTACAATCAAACTTTACTTTTTATATTATTTACAAGCATGGTTTTCAATAATAATGTTGTTGCATATATAATATAAAGCTCTGAGGCAAAGTTATGTAAATGCAAGCAGAAAATTCTAATGAAATACATTGTCTTGCCACTGTTTTTAGTGGCCTGCATGTATTTCTTTTTCTGCTTACATGTACAYCATAGTCATTTGTTTATACCCAGGTTAAACTGACCATGCCCAACTTGTATATRCGTGTATATCAATACATTCCACATGCCTAAGTACCTTAGTGGCATGGTGCATTATATTGTAAAACAATAGACCTTTTG